CGGGCAGTGGGAGTGCCCAGCCATGTGACAGCATTGTGGTGGCTTACTACTTCTGCGGGGAGCCCATCCCCTACAGGACCCTGGTGCGGGGCCGCGCAGTCACCCTGGGCCAGTTCAAGGAGCTGCTGACCAAGAAAGGCAACTACAGGTGAGAGCCGAGGAGCTGGCTAGGGGCAGGGGACCCCGCGTGTGGTCACTGCACGTGTTCGGTGTCGGCCCCCAGCAAACGGGCAGCAGGGTCTGCCGCCACATGAGGGAGGGTGGGGCTGCCGGGCCCGGAGAGGAGGGCACAAGGCTCTCGTCTCCTCTCGTCCCCGTCTTGCAGATACTACTTCAAGAAAGTGAGCGATGAGTTTGACTGCGGAGTGGTGTTTGAGGAGGTTCGGGAAGATGAGACCGTCCTGCCCGTCTTTGAGGAGAAAATCATTGGCAAGGTGGAGAAGGTGGACTGACGGGCGGGCCTGGCCTCTGTGCTGGGTTGGGCCTGCGTTGGGCCGGGGCGGGGGGCCGCACGCAGAGCGTCAGAGGGTCGTGCTGTGTTGTGTGCTTCACGCAGCTGCTGGGAGAAGGCCAGGTGCTGCCCGCCCTGCAGCCGGCCTCTTCTTGGGTCCATCTGTGTGCAGGTGGGTGGGGGTACCTCTGCGTGGTCCCACAGGCCTCCACCCTGCAGCTGACAAGGAGGGTGCCCTGTCCGCTCCTCAGTGATACTGAGAGAGTCCGCCTGAGCGGGGAGCCCGCCGTGGGGCCGCATCAAACATCCTCTCCAGCGGTGCCCCGCTGCTGACGGCGGGCAGACGCACCCGCTCCTCGCCCTGGCGCTCGCACCGCAGGCTCTGCCCCACCCTCTGGGACTTGTCCGCCACATGGTACCCCGGTCAGGCCTAGCCTAGGCCTGGGGCGCCAGGGGCCCTGTGGGGGCCTCTGTAAATTGTACATGTCACCGAGTGCCTTCGACACAGCTTGTCTCTTGCCTGCCACTGTGTGGATCCGGTGATGGAGCCCCTTACCGCTCTCCCTCCTCCATCCTCATTTCCAGAGCGCTGGCTCAGCGGGTCCCGGGCCCCTCCCCTCTAAGGGCCCATGTAAATATGTACATTTCTCAGGCCAGGGCCAGTGGGGGGCTGCCCCCGCCCATTTTTCATGCGCTGACTTGTACAATTATCTTTTCAAAGGTACTTGGATAATAATGAAATAAAATCATTTTTGAACCTTCTCTGGCTGTGGAGTGTATCTGTCTTCTGTGGTGGGGCCTGGCTGGATGGCCTGCCATCCCCTGCAGGCCTCGGAGAGTTAAGTGTGTGTGTTGGGGGGTGTCTTCTGGAGGCACGGGGACAGAGCTCTGGAGAGGGGTGGGTTCCCAGACCCAGATCTGCGTCAGGAATCTACCCAAAAGGGGTGGGGGCAAGGGCTAGGCCCTACTCAAGATGGAACGGGGCCCGGGAAGCTATCTGGCAAGGGCCAGGTGGTCAGGCATACTCAGGAACCACACAGTCCAGGACCAAAGCTCTTTCTTTATTCACTGCACAACTCCCAGGGCACTGATGTGGGGGCACCAGATGGCGATGCGGGGGCAGCTACAGCTCCTCTTTGGGCTCCGTGGTGGAGTTGGCAGGTGTCTCCTGGAAAGGGTCACAGAGGCCCAGCTGGAAGCTGCACTCTTGGTTCACCCTTGCCCCTGGCAACCGCAGTGCCACATGTCAGGCTTGTCCAGAGAGTGGGAACCTTGGGACAGAGGCACCCACCGGGTCGGGGGCTGTGGGTTCCCCTGCAGGCTCCTCTACAGGCAGCTTGCCCCCGTTGTCCAGGAACTTGGAGAAGGTCTCCAGGTCCCTAGTGCTCTTGTATTCAATCACCTGAGGAGGGACACCAGGTTCTGGAGAATATACCCCACCCAGTCCTACCCTCCAACGTCCCACGTAGGCCGGGCCCTACCCCCCCAAGCCCACGCTCTGCCCCGAGGCCCTGCCCACCCGAGGCCGCGCCCATCGGCGCCCCGCCCCTCGAGGCCCTGCCCACCCGAGGCCGCTCATCGGCGCTCCGCCCCCTCGAAGCCCTGCCCACCCGAGGCCACGCCCCTCGAAGCCGGGCCCCCTTCTCCTGCCACCGCCGGAGGAACGCGCTGACCAAGCCCCAGCCAGACCTAGGAAGATGGGGTCCCGCCTCACCTTCCGACCCGGCCCCGCCGGGAAGTACTTGAGGGTAGGGAAGCCGTGCACAGGGAAAGCCTCCAGCTCATTGGCTGTGGCGTCCAGCTCCGCGATGATGATGTCGTCGTGGTCCTTGTACTTCTCGGCCAGGACCTCCCAGGCCGCAGCCATGTCCTTGCAGTGGGTGCACCACGGGGCGTCTAAGGCAGCGGGGCGTTGGCACAGCCAGCAGGGACCCCACCTGCCCACTGCCCCCCACCCACTGCCTTCCACACTCACAAAACTTGATAAACACGTTCTTGGTTTCATCAAAAGCCACCTGCTCAAAATTCTTGCCCACGAGGGTCTTGACCAGCCGCTGATCCCAGTCGGGGGGCACCTCCTGGCTCAGGAGGTAGGGCTGGGGGGACGGGGCCAGGGGTTCCAGTGGCGATCTCCCCTGGGAGCCGCTGCTCCCACCCCCCATTCCCCGGGTGGGCAACTCAGCAGCAGACCTTAATGTGGCCACCGAGGACGGCGTGGCAGAAGGTGGTGACGGAGGCCGCGGTGACTGGCCCGCCATCTGCAGGCGCATACTTCTTGGTGGTCTCAATGTTGATGAAGCGCAGGGTGGGGGCCTCCTCGGCCTTCAGACCAAAGTACTGCAACACGTGGCCATTGTCGGCACCCACGTCCACCACCACGAAGAGCACCTGCCAACAGGGAGTCTGTGGTGGGCAGCCCACCTCCCTACCACCCCCTCCCCCCGCCCCCCGGCCCAGCCCAGTACCTGTCCCCGGAACAGGGGAGCTGCCTCCCCAAAGCCCACCAGCAGCTCCTGGTGCGGGGCCAGCGTCTGGTTGACGAACAGCAGCAGGTGGTTGAGGATCCTGGCTGCGAAGATCTTCGGAGAAGTCTGCGAGGGCAGGCCGAACTGACGGGCACTGGCTCCCATGGACACGCCCCCGCCCCTGCCACCGCTCCTACGGCCCAGCTGACCTGGCTGTTGAACTCCGTGACCAGGTGCATGCTGTGCATGAGGAGGAAGTGCGACAGGTCCCCCTGGTCCAGGCCCAGCTCTTCGTCCACTGGGAAGTCGGCCCGACCCTCGTCAAACTGGACGGCACTGGATCGGTCAGCAGGAGCCACAGCCCCGACCCCCAGCACCCACCTTGGCCCTGTGACCCACCTTCTTGAAAAGGACCACGGTGTCCTTGGTGAGGCCAAACTTCTGAAAGAGCTTCGGCTGGTCGGTAAGGCCAAAGGTCATGTCCAGGGCGTCCTGGGCCAGGGCCAGGAAGGTAGCCACATCATCGTCCTGTAGGTCCTAAGGAGCCCAAGCCTGTGAGGTCAGCTGCACCACAGGCCCTGCTCCCATGGCCTGGACCCCAGTGGCACCAGCTCACCTGGAAGAAGCCAATGACCACAACATCCCGGCCGTCTATCAGAGCTTGGGCACCCTCTTCATCCTCCAGCCGGGTGGCACTGGGCCCCAGCCTCCGCCTCAGCCACTCAGCGATGCCGTCAGCCTCCCTGGGGCCTTTGAAAAGTTCCCTCAGCCTGGGCCCAGCCCAGCCCCGCCCCTGCCCACCGGTGCCTGCTGCCGGTACCAGTGTACTCCTCCGGGTGTGTGCGCTGCCCATCACGGAAGAACTTGAGCGTGGGGTATTCCGTCACAGCAAACTCCTTGGTCAGCTCTGCCTCAGCAGGCCCATCCACCTTGGCCAGCCTGGCTTCGGCGGACTCTGCCGCCAGCAGGGCAGCGGCCTTGCTGTATTCAGGGGCCAGTGCCTTGCAGTGCCCACACCAGGGGGCATCTGGGGGATAGGGTCATGAGCACCCCAGGCCTCCACGGCCCCAGCCTTAGCCCCTGCTCCCGCCCAGCCGGAGCTGGGAGACCTTGGAGGCAGTCAGGTCTGGCAGGGAGCATTCCTGTCCACACACCCGCCTCCTTCGGGGGACCATCTGAGCCTCTGCCCCAGAGCCAGACTCCCCAAGGCGCCAAGTCAGGGGTGCAGTGGGCGGCCCCATCCTGCCAGCGTGTTTGAGAAGAATCATCCAGCTGCCGCTCCCTGAGGCCGGCTGCCTGGCCACCTGCGTCTGCTTGTGGAAGCCTGCAACCTAGGAATGGCTTTCCCGTGTGTAAACGTTTGTAAAAATCTACAGAAGAATGAGCAGGGCCTGAATGCTATCTGGCCCCTTACAGAAAGAGTTTGCAGATGGATGATGATCAAGGGTCTTCCCTGCACCTGCACCTCCCTCCCCAGTCCCACCCTCCTCTGCTCAAGCTGCACCCCCCGCCACCCCCCCCAGGCCAGCTCAGTCCCAGAGCTTTGCTTCCAGGAGCACGGTGGGGGCCAAGAGCGCAGAGGGGAAGCCCTCTCACTGCACAAGCCCCGGACCCCCAGGGTGGGGAGCTGAACCCCCTGGGCGGCCCCGGTGGGTCCTCCAGCCCGCCGGCCCGGTGCACTCACAGAATTGCACCAACAGCGTGTGGTGCTTCCGCAGGGCCGGGCCCAGGTTGCGCTGGCTCAGCACCAAGATCCCATCCTCCTCAGGGATCTCCTCATCGGGGGGCTCTTCCTCGGCCCCCCCTGGCCCCGGGCCCTGTCCCCACAGGACTGAGGCCCCAAGTAGCAGCAGCAGCAGCGGCGGGAGCAGGAACTGGCCGTCCATGGCAGTGCCGGGCCCACGAGGCAGGGGGCAGATAAGGGGGCCGGGGGCCAAGCTGCAGCTGCCACGTGGCGCCCAGTCCTAGTCCCAGGAAGATAAGGCCGCAAGGCTCCCCCCACCCACCTCGGGGGGAGGGGAGGCAGACAGAAGCAACACCCAGGGCACTGAGACAAGGTGATTTTAATAGGACTGTCCGGGGCACAGTGCCAGCCCAGGGAGGGGGCGTCCCAGGACGGAGCAGAGGGTGTGGGGGGTGTGATCACTGACTGAGGGGCAGGGAAAAGCAGGACCCCGACTGGGAGGGCAGCCCCTGGGATGGGAGGCGTTCAGCTCTTCCAGTCTTGGCAGATGTGGAGGCTCCACTCCCAGGACAGGTGGTCCGTCCTGTCGTCATCCGTGAAGAAGGACGTGACCACATAAGCACCCCGCACCAACACTCCTCGAGGCACTTCCTCCACCGGAGTCACAAACTCATACTCCTGGGCGCTCGGGCCGTAACTGCCCACCATGTACACGGCCTTGTCCACTGGGGGAGGGGGAGGCTGTCAGGGGCCACCCTCTGCCCCACCTGACCCTCCCCACAGCCCCGCCCCCACCCCCGGGCCAGCCCCGCCGTGCCGCCCTCACCACGCAGGCCCTGGCGGTAGGTGTGATGCAGACACTTGAGGCCACTGACGATCTCCTTATTGACCTGGGGGACAGAGAGTGTTAAGGGCCCCTCCGGGGGGCTGACCTTGAGCTGGCAGGCGTCCCCCATGACAGCTACCCTCACCTTGAAGGTAATCTTCACTTTGTAATCAACACCCTCCTTCAGGACAAACACCTGGTTTTTCAGCGCGGCCAGCTCCCCTGTTAGGGAAAGTGCAGCTAGGGAATAACCTCCTGGGATAGCGCAGACCCTGCCCCAGGAGCCCCAAGGGGGGCAGTACCTGTGAGGTCCATGGTGATGGGCCCCGGAGCCTGCTCAGACATCAACGTCAGCCTGGTCACCTGCACGTTGGGGAGGCTCAGGTCTGGGGAAAAACCGGAAGTCACCAGAGTGCCCACCCCAGCCTTCGCTTCGCCCCTCCCCTCCCCTCCCCTCCCCTCCCTTCCCCTCCCAGCCCAGGGCTGTGCGTACCCGTGACAGGGGGCAGGGGCCCCAGCAATGCCTGCTTGTACTTGGCCAGGCTCTCATCATCCGGGTCCAGCTGCTGGATCTCCTGGAGGCTCTTCCTCCCTGGGGCCCGGTACTCAGGCACAGCCTCATCCAGTGCCTCGTCAGGGGGCAGCTGTCTCCCCTCCTTGTCAGTCAGGAGGACTGGGGGTTGGGGAGGTGCGTGAGTCGCTGCCCCCAGCGGACCCTGGCGTTCACTCATCAAACTGGAGGCCCCCCATCTGGCCAGCTGTGCCGCTCACGGCCCAGGCCCACAGGAACTCAGAGGAAGCAATGGAGGCTCAGGGAGAGAGGTGGGGGGTTAGGGAAGGGGATGTGCGCTCAGAGAGGGAGGGCTGCATGGGGGCTCAGGGAGAGGGGTGCGCTGGGAAGAGACTGAGCAGCACCCACACCCGAACCCTTTAGGAAGGGCCCTGGGGGTTGGAGAAGGCTCCTGAGAGATGGAGCCAAGTGACATCCCCGAGGCACCAGCTGCCTTCTCTGGCCCAGCCATCCATCTAGGGCTCCTCCCTGACTCAGAGGCCAAAGATGGGGACGGCACGGCGGCAGACCCTAAAAGGGGGATAGCCCCAAGGACTGGAGGCCACTACTGTGGACCGCTGACCTCTAGGGTCTTCCCTAGAACAGAGGCTCTGCCCACCACATCTCTTCACATCTCTGTATACCTTTCCGCTATCCTAGGGGTTCTTGCCGGGGGTGCTCCTGGGTCGTAGAGGCGGTTCTCTCTAAACCCCTCAGCTTATGCTCTGGGGCTACCTCCCTGGGCGCCTTCAGACTCAGTCTCCTAGAGCCCCCCTTCCCATGATGCCCTGTGGCAGGGGTCTCTCTAAGCCCCTTCCCATAGTGTTTTGGGACAGGGTCTTTCCGACTGTGCGCCAGGCTTCTCAGGGATCACCACACGCCCTGAAAGAGCCCCAGCCCCACCCAAGGGAGAGGGGATCTCAGGGGCAGGTTCCCAAGGGGAGAGGGTCCCCCTGCAGCCCCGGCTTCACAAACAGACCCGCCCACTCTTGGCTCCTTTGCCCCTGAGTGTCTGGCCTGGACGAAGCCCCCCGCCCCCGCCAGAGCCCAGTAGGGGGACCGCGCCAGGATTTCCCCACGCGCGCCCCCAAAGTTTCCGCGGGGGAGGCCCAGCCCCCGCCCTAGGCTGAAGCCTCCCCAACCCCCCACCCACCACCCTCCCCGTCCCAGACCCCCGCCCACGTGGCCACCCTGGCCCCAGCCCAGCCTGCTCACCTCGGGCGCACAGCGCCAGCCGGAGCAGCTCCAGCAGCTGCGCCCCCAGCTCACATGCGTCCAGGCCCAGCATGGTGGCCCGCGGCCCGGCTCCGCCGCGGAGCCGCCGAGGAGCCGCCGCCCGCCCCGCCGCCGCCCGGCTCGGCGCTCAGCCCCGGCGCGACTGCGGTGAGCTCATCCCGGCCGGGAGCGCCCCCCGCGCCCAGCGCCGCGCCCGCGCCGCGCGCCCCCAGCCGCTCCGCGGACCCCGCGCAGCCCCGCAGAGACGCGCGTGTCGCCCGCACGGCGCCGGCACCTGGTCGTCCCCGCCGCGGGCGCCCAGAAGCCCGCACAGCCGCCGCGGTGACGGTCCCAGCCGCCGGCCCAGGCTACACCCCGCTCTGTCCATCAGAGCGGCCCCGCCCCCATGGCGTCCGTGAGAGTCTGGGGGATTCTCCGGGGAAGCCCTCTGGGATGGGCGGGTGGGGCTGGGGGCGCCCAGTGGAGCAGGTGCTCCCCGCCTCCCCCAGGCCCCTAAGGCTCTCATTACCTGCAGGCGGTACAGGCCGCACCTGGGGCTCGACAGATTCCCCTCCCTTCCCCACCCCCACCGGATCTTCTGTCTGGGCAGTGGGGACTCCTGGAGTCTGCCCAGCCTTGGGAGCTGCGGGATGCGGATGGGGGTGCGTGTCTGCGCAGCCTTGTGGCTCCACATCCCAGAGGCGTTAGCACAGAGAGACCTGTGTCCACATCACCCAGAGACAAGGGTCCCACCCTCCTAGTGAGATGCAACATGGAGTCAGTCACACAGCCGTTACTCTAATGTTTATGGACTGGGCTGCGTGAGTGTGCTGCAGGTCTCTGGGCTGTGTGCACCCAGACCATAATGAAGCGCCCTGTCCTTGAGGAGGAAAGGACACTGATCTGAAGCAGAATCCTGGTGGTGGAGGGCTGAGAGAGGGGCACAAAAGGGGCTTCTGGTCTTGATGCCTAAACAAACCTTGGGGTGGGCAGATGGGGGCAGCCAGTGCAGGGAACGGGGGGGGGGGGGGGGGGGGGAAAGGGGGGGGGGGGGGGCCGGGGAAGGGGGGGGAGGGGGGGGGGGAGAACACCCCCCCCAACCCCCCTCTCCATCCAACACCCCCCCTCCCCCCCCACC